CCCCATCTAACTCCAAACCCTAAAATCAATTAACCGATTATCTCTCCATCTCATCCTCCACCCTCTCTCTCTCTCATCAAACACCGTTGCCGCCGTCGACGCCTCATCTCTTCTCCCTCTCTCAACGCCGCCACCACCACGACGTGGACTCTTCTTCCACTCATCTCCCTCTCTCGTCTTCTTCCACTCGTCAGCCGCCTCTCTATCTTTTTCCCCTCTTTCTCGTCTTCTCTCTCTCTCCACCTTGGCTGTCGCTACTTACTCCGGCGACTTTAAGTTCATGCAGTTGGTGAGTGCTACGGAATGGGTGTCATGGGCGATTAGGAGGTCAGGATTGTTGACGAGCCAGCCTTTCTTGCCGGCGCCGAGTTCGGTCAAGAGCAAACAGTCAACAGGTCTCAGGCAGGGAAGTTGGGTGCGGTTGGGGTGTGGAGGTGCAGATCTATTGGGTGCGACAGTCGTGGCTGTGGATCTGTATTTCGCCATTCCTTGCAATGCTACTGTTCGAATCCGTTCTGGCTGTGCAGATCCACTGGCGATGGGTGCGGTTGGCGGTGGGTTTGCTGTGAGGTTGTGGTGTTGGCTGTTGGTTCAGGTGTTGCGATGATTGGGTGTGTGTGTTTGTGTGGCGGTGGTGATCGTGCGGTTTAGGTGTGTTTCTAGTTGCGTGCGGTGGTTGCGGTTCTGTGCGATGGTTGCAGTGGCAAAGTGGTGGGATGATCACAAATGATTTATTTTTTGTGACCAATAATTTGGTTGGTTTGTGACCAATAAACAATATGTAACTAATGAATTAGTTAAACTGTGACCAGTACTAACTGTGTGACCTAAAAATTATTAATTTGTGACCAATAAATTGATAAATTGTGATCTAAATAAGTATTGTGACTTATAAATTTTGTGATCTGTGACCGATGAACAAATTGTAACTTTTAAATTTTTAAGTTGTGACCAATAAACAAATTGTGACCTATGAAAATTTTGAATTGTGACCTAAAAATTTTC